AAGAGTGTGTTTTAATTTTGAGGAAAAACAAAAACACCAAACTAAAATGAAGCCTAACTTGGAACTAACTTTAGCTCTTCTAGCCAGGAAGAAAATCCTGGGTGATCTTGAAGATTAGACTTTACTTGTCAGATTATTTGCTTTGTTTATTAATTAGAAAATAGTCAGCTTTAGATACTGGCCTTAGGTTTCTGAGAATTGCTGTATAATCTGTAGGTCTCATAAATTTGAAAATTTTATTTTGAAAGCAGAAATACACATCCTGAATTTAATCTTGCTCCTGAATAAAATAATTGTTATTCTCTCTGCAGAATAATCTTTAATATGGAACTTAATATTTAGCACATTCAAAAAGTAAGAAATTTGTGGGACACAGATATGACTTGTTGCCTGTTCATGGTGTCATGTATAATATTCTCAACTCGCCTGGTGTGTGGCGTATATCATGTTGGGTAAAAACCTCTTTATAATCTAAACGATGTATAGTGATTGAATGTATAAATGATAATAAATGTTAATAATAAAAATAAAGTAAAATAAGTAATAATCAAAATTGTAAAATATTTAGCACATTTGTAGTCTTTGTTGAAGTTCATTTCAGGACTCTCAACATAGTGTTAATACTACATTTAAATTGATTCTTGTTTTAACAGCAGTGTTCCTGTAAAAGGTCGTGTATTCTAATACCTTCACTTTTTCACGTGGTTATCTGTATTTGTATAGCATATTTGTGTAAGTCTGTTTTAACAGGTAAAGATAGGCTTCATGAGAAGCTTAGTGTGGTTGTTGCTATTGTTTTTACTTAGTAGCCTTTTAACTGGATGTATTAGGGCCACTTTGGTTATCATAAATAAGGAGATAAAAGATTTTAAATAAAAGAAAATTCTTTTAGCAGATGAAAAAAATCTAACTCATGGGAATTGCTCTACTTGGATGCTTCTATCTGTATAAATTCTTTATTATTTTATGAAAAAGTTTACAACTTTATAGTTTAAATGCCTCAAATTAGGTACTATATCTCAGAGTTGAAGATCTTCTAATCCAGTATTTTGGTGTTGATGAATGTTGTGTTTTCTAATGTTGCAACTAGTTAATCCTTTGATTTTTTTTTTTAAGTTTATAAGCTACAGATTTGTTTTAAGTTCAGTGGTTTTGTGATACCAACATAGACAATTCAGAGTGTGACAGAATATTTGGAAATCATGTTTAATAAGAGATTTATATCTAGATTATAACTATAACTTAACCACTAAAGAAAAACAAATTAATTAATTCAAAAATTAGTGAAGGACTTGAATAGACATTTCTCCAAGGAAGACATACAAATGGCCAATAAGCACATGGAAATATGCTCAACATCATTAGGGGAATGCAAATCAAACCCACAATGAGATACTACTTCATACCCACTAGGATGACTGTTACTAAAAAAAAAAAAAAAACAAGAGAAGGAAAATAACAAGTGCTGGTGAGGATGTAAAGAAATTGGAACCCTCATACAATGAAACAAGGAAAATAAAATGTTATATATATGTAACCCTATGAATACAAGCTTGGTGGTTTCTCACAGTTAAACATGGTGGTTTCTCACAGTTAAAATATGGTCCATCAATTCTACTCTTAGTTAAAACTTTCAAATCAAAGAATTTCAATTAACTAGGTATAATCCCAGAATCAGTTGCTTACCATTAGAAAAACAAATTGTTTTTCACCATGAGGTTTGTTGAGGAATTCTTTATTACAGGTTATATCAAACATCAGCCAGGACAAAAATCATGAGCTTTGCACAAAAGACTTCCTCCCTAAATGTGTTTAGGGATGGGTTTGTATTTATTTATTTTTAATTTATTTAATTTTACTTATTATTCTTAATATTATTTTTTATTTTGACTAGAGAGAGGGTGAGGAGAGGGGGAAGGAAAGTGAGAAAGCAAGCCCCTAGGTCTGGGACTCAAACTACAGTCAGCTATGTGGGAGTCCAGCGCCTTAAACCACCATGCCACATGCTGCCCTAGAATGGGTGTTTATAAAGGAATAATTCTTGGCCATGTTTGCAGTTAAGTCCATGTGTGCACATGAAGGGTTAAAACTTGTACAGTTCTGATTGATTAATTAGAGCAGCTGTCCTTTTTGTCCATTATTGAACAATTAATTAACCATGATTGGTCTGTCTGTCACAGCCAACATTTTCCCTACTTTCACTTTCCTGGAGTGGAGTTCAATATTAAGTCACACAACCTTTTCAGTGCATTTATCCTTCAAGCAAACTTAAAATATAAAAATAGCACTAGGTTTTCTTATTTAGGCTAGTTCTAGGTGACAAAAATAGACTAGTAGTTATCAGGGACTGGGAAAAGTAGGAAATGGGGATGATTGTTTAATGAGTAAAAAGTTCCTGTTTGAGATGAAAAAGTTCTGAAGTAGATAGTGTGATGATTGTACAACATTGTGAATATACTTGATGTCACTGAATTATGCACTTAAAAATGGATACAATGGGGTAATTTTTGTGAAATATTTTTACCTCAATATACAAACTGAAATAAACAACCAAACAATAACAAAATGGACAGATTTACTATATTACACATTTTCACATTTTTCCCCATAGATTTTTTCCCTTGTCACTGAAGCACTTGTATAGATATCTCAAAATTGTGTGGGTACTTACTAGATTTTTAAGATCGAGTACTACTTAGTTTGTATTACCTTTGAATTACAAATGCTATGGTTATTAAACAATTCTGCGCAAAAAAATTTAACGTACCTTTTTTGTTTTGCAGTTACTTCGAGAGCTTAAGCATCCAAATGTCATCTCTCTTCAAAAGGTGTTTCTCTCTCATGCTGATAGGAAAGTATGGCTTCTGTTTGACTATGCTGAACATGATCTCTGGGTAAGGTGAATTGCTGGGAGACAGAAGCCATTCATTTCAATCAAGGATAGTTAAGAGGGAGTAAAAACAGTTTAAGAGTTCCTCTTATTCTGTGATTTGCATTTTTAAACTAAAAGTAACCTCATGTCTATTGCATTACAAAATCTAGTTTGTTTTTTACTCTTGATCCTGTCTGTTTGGCCTTTGTAATAGATACTAAAGAAAATAATAGGGAACCAGCAGTTAGCGTAATGGCTATGTCGCTGGACTCCCATGTAGTCGACCGCGGTTCGTGTCCCGGACCCGGTGGCTTAGAACTCACGCCGGGCGCGTGTGCGTGCGTGCCCAAGATCCCGAGGGGAGAATGGAGGAGAAGGGATTGCGGCGTGACCATCCCCCCTGGGGGGTGATTTCTCGCTTTCTGTCTCTATGTCTCTCTCTGTCTGTCTGGCGAGCACACGCGCCCTATAGCGAAAATCTCTCCA